ATTTTTTTGCAAAAGATTGTACATGTTTACTGTATGAAAATGACAAAAAATATTTTATTTAAAATATTGGCCATCACTGGCTATACATTTTCCCCATCTCTCCGGAAATTTACGAGTGCCAAGATGAAAAAACTGTTGCTCTTTTGAGGTAAGCCAGTCATCGAGCCATTTTCATACATTTTCATAAGAAGTGAAGCACTGCTGAGAAAATGCATGTCCCATTGATGCGGATAAATAGTAGTCGGACAAGTTTCTTTTCTTATATGTTTGTAAATTATGCATTTTTTGCTTTAAAAATGATTGAATTATGTTGTTCTTATCTTCTGGTTAAGGTTTTTATGCCTTTAGTTAACCTGCATGTTATAGTTGTAGAATTATCAACAATTTAAAAGTTGTTTAATTACGACTAGACCTAATTTTTTTATAATAATAGCCATATTTGTTTACATTTGAAACTTAGCAGAATAATGGATTTGTTGCTAATCTATAGAAACAAAGGTTCGCAACAACAAAGTAACGTATTCTTTTATTATTGCAAATTAAATAATGATTAATCCATCCTGAAATTATCATTTAAGTTATTGAATTATTTCATATAGTGGCTCAGCATGGTGTCAGCACAACAAATTAAGTCAGTTTTTATGCCTTCAGTGTCTTTTTGCCAAGTGACACCAAAAGTAAACTTTCAGTTTTGTGCACAGAAAAATCTGCCTTCTTGCCTGCTGGCTGAATTGCTTGTTTTTGCATAGAAAATGTAATTTTAATTGTATTTTTTTTTTTTTTTTTTTTTTTTTTTTTTATAATTTTAGCAATATTTGGTGTTTTGTAATTTTCTATATCTTTCAATTTTGAATATAGATATTTTGAGTTTTTATACATTTTTGCCTTGTCATGAAGTGAGAACTCAATTAATTAAAGGAGAAATATATCTGTAATGAAATTCGATGAAATAAATTTAAATGAAAAGCAGGAAAAAATATGTATAATTTAATTCCGTACAAGGAAGTAATGTGGTGTACACATCAGATTTTTTCTTCTTTATTTTGAATTATTTATAAAATTCATTTAGATCATCTAAGTGAAATATTTTCATGTTGATGAAATGTGTATACAACCTAGATTGCCTTAGAAAGTCTTCCATAAAGGCATCCCTTCCCTTAGGCAAATAGCCCTCAAGGCTTTGCCATAGTTAAATAAACCAAAGCAAAGCAAATATGTTAATGAAATATGTTTTTCATGTTTCCGGACATTCAAGGACACCATACAAATGAAAAATATATAATTCTTCAAGTATGCTAATGCTATTCAAACATATAATTTCATCAAAAATCAGCGTTTATTTTCAAAATTTTCACAGAACTAGTTTCGATGGTTTTACCGAACCACCATCCTCAGCTGCAAAACCACAAATGAACAAGATAGGAAATAATGATTAGATAAGATAAGAAAGCCTGGACAAGGAATAAGCAAGTGGCGCCATCTGTTGGTGAAACCAGAACTAAAACATAATTTCTCTAAAAGCCAAAGCCGAAGGCAAATTTGGATTGGAATTAGGATCGTTAACTAGAACAGAAAGATTTTTATGAATGTGAAATGCCTCTAGAAAATCCAGTTCTCCAATAGAAGATGTTTTTTGAATAATTTTGGCAGCAGAAAAATTGGAAAGTGTGATTTTCGGACCAACAATGTTGGAGCAACAGAAGGACTTCTGTGTTTCCTTTTTTCTAACATCATGCCTCATGTTCCTTGACGCGAAATTTTAAAGGCTCTCTTTAGTTTGGCCAATGCAAATTATTTATTTATTATACGATGTATTATTTAAACCACACTGGCAAGGAATCCTATAAATACCCCTGGAATTCATATCCGGAATGGGGTCCTTGAATATGGAACTCGGAAATTTTATTGATGGGAGAATAAACAACCCGAAAGTTAAATTTCTGAGCAAAATATGTGCAACTTTATAGCTAATTGATGGAAAGAAAGGGAATGACAACAGAATTTTTATAATCTCCTAAAACAAGAGTGTGCCTTTTAGTGTGTTGAGATGAGAATATTTTAACTGCTTGATTAATAATGTTGGGTGGAAAGCCCCTGTCAATAGCTATTGCTTTTAAATAATTTAGTTTTTCATCAAGGGCTAGTTTGGAGGAGCAAACTTGAAGAGCACGGAAAACATAGGAATAAAATGAAGCTAACTTTTGTTTAGTCGGATGACTTGATTTAAAGTGTGGTGGAAGGCAAACCGATGAAGGTTTACGGTAAACCGTAGTACTGAAGTTGGTTGTGTTACGTGTGACCAGAATGTCGAGAAACGGAAGAGAATTGCAAGTCTCAAGTTCAAAAGAGAACTGAATAGCAGAATCAATAGAATTCATTGTTGAAAGAACTTTATTTAAATCATCTTTATTACCTTCAAACAGGATAAAAGTATCGTCTACGTAGCGGAACCATGTCGGGAAGTTGAGAGTTTCAAACAATTTTGATTCATAATAATGCATGTAGATATCAGCCAGGGTGGGACTGAGGGGGCTTCCTACGGCTAATCCCTCAATTTGCTTGTAATATTTATTTTGGAGAACAAAATGTGTTTGTTTCAAACAGAGTTGAGTGAGAGAAATTAGCTCATCAATTTCGATGCAAGAGAAATGAAATTCACGAAGTCTGGTTTCTAGACATCTTGATGCACCCTCCACTGGAACATTGGTGAATAATGATTTTACATCAAAAGAAACCATGAGTAAATTTCTAGGAGAAATGTTTTTAACCTTTTTTACAAACTCTATTGAATTTTTTATGGTGTAAATGTTATTGTCTAATAGAGTTGAAAATCTAGAAACTAAATATATAGCTAAGGTATATGAGGCAGTACCTAAATTTGATACAATATGGCGGAAAGAATACCACTTTTATGAATTTTGGGAAGAGCATATAATCTGGCACAATTCGCAACAGTTTGGATAAGCGAATGTTTTAATTGCTTGAAATGATTTGTGAAGATTTGATCGCAATTTTTATTTTCGACAAGTCCGAAGGTGAAGGATCTTTAGGGATCGGATTATATGGTCCTTCGTTTAAGAGTTTAGTGACACCATCGATGTAAGTGTTCTTATCCATGACGACTATCTGGTCACCTTTGTCGGCCTTTGAAATGATAATATCCGTGTTAGAATGAATTTTGCGCATTGTAGCTCTTTCTCTCGCAGTTAGATATGGTTTCAAAGGTTTATTATTGAATTTCACATTATGAGCTATAAGATGCCTAATCATTTCTTTCTGTGAATCTGAAACTTTACTGAACTTGAAAGCTTTTTCGATAGGAGCCAAAATCTTTGGAATCGAGGGTTTACAGGTTTGTTCTTCTGAAAGACCAACATTAGAAATATTAACTAATGGCTTGATATTTACAATTGGAAGATTTTTTGAACTAATTGAACTAGAAGACTGTAAAAGAAGTTTTTCGAATTTAACTGCAAGGGTGTTTTTATGACGGTTAACTGCATTCTCTGTTCTAGACCAAGACTTTTGTTCAAGGGCTGTGAATTTTGGATATGAATTAGCAAGTTCCAGATGAAGCTTATAGAGTTCGTGTTCAATTTTGGACAATTGTTGGTGTGTATCCCTTATGATGGACCGTAAGTAAGGCAAGCTTGCAATTTAACAGAATTCTTGAAACGTGACTGGAAGGTTTTTGGTTATTTATCAAAAACCTTCCAGTCCTTATCGCTCATAATGTGAAATTCAATAATAAAAAACCTTCCAATAATCAAAAAGAGAGCCTTAAAAACTAAGAGAGCCTTAAAATTTCGAGTCAAGGAACATGAGGCATATGTTAGAAAAAAGGAAACACAGAAATCTTCTGTTGCTCAACATTGTTGGTCCGAAAATCACACTTTCAATTTTTCTGCTGCTAAAATTATTCAAAAAACATCTTCCATTGGAGAACTGGATTTTCTAGAGGCATTTCACATTCAAAAAAATCTTTCTGTTCTTGTTAACGATTCTAATTCCAATCCATCTTTGCCTTTGGCCTTTAAAGAAATTATGTTTAGTTCTGGTTTCACCAACAGATGGTGCCATTTGCTTATTCTTGTCCATGCTTTCTTATCTTATAGAATCATTATTTTTTATCTTGTTCATTTGTGGTTTTGCAGCTGATAATTGATGAGGATGGTGGTTCGGTAAAACCATCGAAACTAGTTCTGTGAAAATTTTGAAAATTAATGCTGATTTTTGTTGTTTGACTTCTGAATTAGTACTTATTCGGCGTGTTATTGTGTCTTAAATATAATTTCATATAAGTAAACAAAAATTTTTTAGTTTTATTTTTTAAATTTGGTTCCCTAAAAAGAAATTTATTATTTGTCGTTGCAGAAAAGAAAGGTTTTGTGTAAGTGTAACTAACTTTCTTTTGTGTTTGTTATTAAAATAAATATTTTATGTTATTGTGTTTTGCTGTTGATATTATTTTTAATAACTAGGTTCTTAAACAATATCTAGTTCAGTGCACCTTTAAAAAAAAGAGTGCTATTTCTACATAACATGTTTATAAGCCAAAACTTAAATCTTACTTAATTCGTATTTATTTGTAAATGTGTTTTAAATTTTTGAGAAGCAATTAATATCTTTTAATGCTTTTATATGAGTGTGTGTAAACTTGATGCAGAAGTATAAGATTAATTACTTTAATGCTGAACTTCTGAGTCATAAAAATGTGAGTTTGGTAATAGTTAAATATATTTTAAATTTTTAAAGTTGGTGCTTAGAAGGAACTACTGCAGTTCTTTTATTTATTTAATCATTTAATTATTCATCCTAAAGTTTATACCAAACACAAGGTTGTTGGTTTGTTAATCTTACATTAAGTTAGGTTTGGTATTATGTTAATTGATACAAATTGAAACCACTGCACTTTATGAATTAATCTACTAATATTTGTTATTTTATAAACTTTATAAGCCAAAAAATTGTTTTCTGAATTTTTTTAATTAATTTTTCAGCCAAGCGTATTGCAATATTATTGCTGGTGGTTGCTTTTGCTTGGGTTTAAAATTTGCAGGATCTTCAAACAGTGAAGCTTTTGAGACATTGGTGAGTTTATAATTGTAACTTACAAGCAGCACTTTTTAAAATTCAAATTACTTTGTTATTTATCTTAGTTGAAGGCAACAGCATATATTTATGACTGCTATTAACTTAACTCACATGATTGTTTGTATTATTGGAATAGGACTAGTTAGCTCAACCAGCCTGTAATTAATAATTAAGTGTCATTAAATTGTAGTGATAATAAATAATTTGTAACAAACTGGTTTAGAAAATTTTAGCTTTAAGCTAAATTTCTTATTCTAAGTTAAGTGTTATTTTGAAATTGTTTGTAAAGTTTGATTTAAGTTTGAAGCAAATAATAAATATTGATTTATATTTGTTTATTACCATTAGTTATGTATTTTATTATTATTATTATTTTTTTTTGTAAGGCATTTAAACTCTTATTGATAAGTATGATAATCTTTTAAGGCTTTGATAATTTTAATTAAGACTTTTTTAATCCTATTCTTAAGACATATTATGGCATTCTTAAGACATATTATTGATTCTTAAGACATATTATGGCAGAATTTTTATTTTGATGATTAATACAGGAATTTAAATATCTGATTTTGTGTCAGACTTTAATGCACGCCAGGATAAAAACAGCATACGTAATTATTGATGAACAATATATTCTCATTTATCCATTATTTCTCTTTTAAAAATTAACTGTTAATTTACTGATTCATGTGCCATTTTCAGATTCTGCAGTTTCAGATAAAAATAATAATAGTTACTTTAGTTTAATGATGCCAATAGTAGGAAAATTAATTTTAGGGTAAGAAGTGTGGCTGATTAGTTTAGTACTTTTTAATCAGTCAAAATTTAGGCTTTAACATTTATGATATTTATTAATGCCATGCATTGTACTTCAAGGTTGCAACCCAGCCCTTCTTGCAAAAAATGAGGCTGTCCAGCGGCCGGCCATGTTCCTTAGGGGGAGGGACACTATAAAGTCATAATACTATAGTATAATTCAAATAATTTAAAATCTTTAACCAAGAAAAACATAAAACATACATCCAGCTAGTATTCTCAATAATAAACTCCTGGTTTAGATTACTGAAAAGAAAGCAAGCATAACATAAAAAATGCAAACTAAATATAATAAGTGTTAATACACAAAATAACATTAAAAGACATTTCAAATGCAAACATACAATATAAACATTGAAAAAACAACCAAACATTCGTAAATCAATAACAGAGATTGCCGATGGCCTCCCTGTGACCATTAACCATTTCCATTATTTTCCTTACAGTATTAGCCGCAACTCTAATCCCATTATTTGTAAAGTTTTTATCCGGACCTGTAATATTTCTTGTCAGATTACATTCTCTAATGAAATGTACATTATCTCCAGTTTTGTCATAAATTTTGCATTTATCATTTTCCTGCAATTTGAATCTCTTTAATAAGTAGGGAAATCTTCTGTGACCAGAAATAAGCTGATTCAGATCTATATCATTAATAATTTTCATTTTGTGTGCAATTTCGTAAGCACCCAGAATTCCAATTCTTCTTTCTGAATTATACCATTGTCCTTTCCAATTATCATATATGTCTATTTTCATGGTATTCAGATTAATCTCTCTAAACACTTGTATGTCTACAAGCTGTACATTTTTACTCTGAGCTGCTTCTTTAACAAGGGCATCTGCTCTCTCATTGCCCACATATCCAATATGGGCCTTAACCCAATTAATTTTCAGTCTGTGTTTTCCACACAGTTCTACATATAAACTATTCACTATCTGTTCATTTAAATTTTGCTGGTTGGGGGCTGGAGAGGGCCTGCAAAACGGGCAAACTACCTTTATGAATTATAATGTTTCTAGACTTGCGTAATTTTTCTTGTAGCTACTCCATAGCTTTTCGTATCACTAATACTTCAGTTTTATATATGGAATTATATTTTTCTAATTTAAATTTCATATTCTCGATTTCAATATCTTGATAGAATCAACTTTTAGAATCAATCTACTAAATTTGATGAAAATTAATTTTTCATCTTTTGAATGAATTTTTCATCCTCTCTTTTGAATGAATCAGATGGTGATTAAAAACTGAAAAGGCAGAACAAAAAACTGAATTTTCTCCATAATCATAAAAATCTGATCTTCCTGCTCTCAACATACATTTTCAGTGGTAAAATTCATACTGCAATTAGAGAGGCGAAATGCCTGCCAAAATATTCGCAGTTTTTGTGGGGGCAGTCCTGAAAAGTCTTGTAATTGTCCAGCCAGTTTCTCTGAATAGTATCCAACTTAATTCTTATTCTTTGAAATTGCATTGCTCTTTGCCCCCAAACTCCGATTCGATACATTGTCATGGGATTTATCCATAGTCTGTATACCATATTTTTTAGATGCTATTGTAAATCTATACAATGATTTTTTAGGATATATTTATGGATTGTTAAAGAATTTTTGGAACTTAAAAACAGAAATTGAAATATCCATCGATTACATAAAAGATGAAGAAATCAACATAAGTGGCAGCAGATATTTTGACCAATTTTGCTCTCTAATGAAATTTAAAATTGTGTATAATAATGAAGAAATTAAGTCGGCATCATTTTTATAAAAAAGGGCTTTCAATTTCAGCATCGAAAATCTTCAAAAAATGTCAAATGCCATTTTGAGCTTCTGAAAATTATCAATTTTTTGCCATTTCTGCCCTTATTCTCAGAGAGGAAAGAATATTTTCTTTAATTAAAATGCAGTAATCTAAGGAAATGAATTGCCTTGCTGTGAATTCAGTGAAAGTGTGCTATAGTGAAATATAGCATCTATCATTTCAGAGTGTAACATTGTTTAAATGCAAATCAGATTGTTAGAGAAACTGGCATGTTGAAGATTACCTGTTTAAATTAAAATACCCTCTACTGGAATATAAAAGACTGAAATTTGATAAAACAGTAAGTTTGTAAGTAAACAGTAAGTTTGTAAGTAAACATAAGTTTGATATAATAACAATAAAGTTTTGTTGCTATTTCTGTGCATCTATATATATATATATTGTAAAACTGAGGACAGAATATTATAGTATCCACACCTTGAAATACAAAAATAAGGACAATATCCTAAATGGAAATCCAAAATAACAATTTCCATATGGAAATTTAACACAGCATGTGAAGTTTAGTATATATTGAGCAACAAAATTGCAGGGGGACTGGAAATTTAATATGATTGCAGATTTCTGCTGTCCTGTGAAAACTAGAGACCTCCCAAAAGATGTCACATAATATAGCATCTTCTGTTATTATGTGACTTCTGCTTCATAATAGCATCTTTTTTGTGTGTGTGTGAGATGTTTAAAGTGTTTGACTAAGAATTTTTCTTGTGTAGACAATTGTGTTTAAATATTTCTTTTGTAAATAAATTTTTAAAAAAAGATATTTAAGCATAAGTACTTTATATAGTACTTCCTAGAGTCAGCTCATTTGTCTCATTATTTAGTTTAACATGCTATTATGTTAAATATAGCGATTTAATGTTCAATACCAGTCAAGAAAGAATTAGCATAACTTTAAATAAAACTGTATGTGATTGAAGGGGGATTGTCATTTGCAGATTCAGCATTCCAGGAAACTACAAATTGGGGAGTGACAGGTAGCAAGTTTGTATGTCGAAACATAAAAGTATAAAACTGTTAGCATAAACCATAAAATTATTTTTATAGGGTGTTCTTACTTATTAATCATTTTTTATGAAGTATTTTTTTACAAAGGAAGTTATATACATCTCTAATTCAAAAGGATATTAATTTCATCACACATTTATGACTAAGAAATTTTCTCTGTCATACTTTTTTTTTATCAGCAATCTTATTTATTTTATTTGCTTTAAAAGTCTAAACATCTCTTTGTATTTTAGTAGTTAATTGAGGAAAATATTTTCTAGCCCAAAAGGCGTTAGCCCAGAAGGCTGTTAATTTCAAAACAGCATTTTGCATTGATTCACTTTTTAAACTGCTGCCACCAAATATTATCGCTATGTATCATATTTAAAGAAACTAAATAATGAAGAATCTGCTTGAATGTATCTTTCATTGTGAAGAAACAATAGTACCTAGAGCCATCAAATTTTGAATAATGTAGCCCTCCAACCATACATGGGTACTTGGAATCCCAAATTTTGAATTTCGAATTTGTTTTATTATCTATTTAAAATTTTGCAAAACTTTATAAAAAATTTTTATTAACAAACTTGATTATTTCAAAGCGAGTAATGGCAATACTGTACAGAAAAACACATTTTTTTCTCCAGCACATGATACTGTGTATCAGAAATTCAAAAGATATAAAAGCATATCTTTCGATTTTAATATATATATATATATATATTTATCTTTTGATTATATATATATATATATATATAATCTTGCTGTTGAATTGAATTTTATATCTTTTAAGTGCGAAGAAGGTGATATTTAATCAACAAAGGTAACACACAAAAGGTTAAAAAATACGCTCTTGTGGGCATAATATAAAATATGAAAGCTTTCAGATTTTTGTTTATTATTAATTTATTGTCAGACTTTCAGAAGATATTTGATTGCAAATTGGGTAAGTTTATATTATTAACTGCTTTCAGTTCATGTTTCTGTGATACTTTCAGATGCAGTATGCAAAACATTTCCTTTCATTATCTCGCAAACTTGTTGGGGATCCAGGTGGACGAAGTACCATAGAGACGTGTTTAAATGTTGTTGTTCTGTCATTAGCTATGGTATGTTGTTTCCATAATCAGCCTTACAAAATTTTGCTATTGAACTATTTTTCTTAAAACAGTAATGATTTATGGGTACAGAGTTCCTTATAATTTTTATTGTCTTTTTATGTCGTTAATGAATTTGAAAATTTTATTTTTACATAAAAGTGTATTCTAACCTATGTCTGTTCTATAGTCTAGCCTAATTCTCAGTCTAATAGGATAAATTTTGATTTAAAAAGAAATATGATCTAATTTCACAAAAGATGTAATTATATTTTTTAAAAAAATTCAGAAACTTGGTTTTTCAATTTTAGATCAAAATTTAAAATACTAAATGTCGAATTAATATATTTATCTTTTGATTATATATATATATGAAATGTAATTTCTCATACATTATTTGTTTTGTGCAGCCGGGGAAACAGGAATGAGACAAATTTTGGAATATAAAGTGGCAGGTTTATTTTAGCATCCATCTCACAAGCGTTCTCCTCGTACCTTGAGCAGAAGCCCAATTTATACATATGTGTACGTCACGAGGCTCCTCCAATCAGCGATATTGATTGAAATCACGAGGTGACGCTATCTTCTCATCAGGAGTGTTCTTAAGTACTTTATGTAATATGACAGATTTATGAGTTTGGCAATTAGGCGGGCACCAACAGGTTAATATATTTTATACTAAAGAAAGGATTTCGCCAAAATTTAGGAACAGGGATGCAATTTAGGTAGAGAATCGCCAACACATTATTAAGCAATATTAATAGAATTTAATTCAATCAATTGATTTAAAAATATCATTACATATATATATATATATTGGTTTTTCAATTTTAGATCAAAATTTAAAATACTAAATCTATAATTAATATATTTATCTTTTGATTATATATCTTTTGATTATATATAAAATTAATAATAAAGAACTGAACTTTCAGAACAACTTAATATTGTTCTGAAAGTTCAGTTCTTTATTATTAAATTTTATTATTTATTCTTTTTTATATACTGCTATGATGTCAGATGCAGATAGATTGTCAAAAATATCTGTTTTGTAAACACATTCATGATGTAAGCATGTGAGTAATCCTTTTCATGCTCATTTCATTGAGTAAGTTCACAGATATGTGTAATAAGACAGTCTACTGAATTTGTAGCCATCATGAATCTTTCACTGTATTCTTTCAGAATAATTTAATGCTCTTTTGTAGTGTTTCTGGGATTGTGTTGGTTGATGTGCAAAATGGTTTAAATCATCAATCGATATTCAACCATTATCAAAACAGTTACTCATTTGTTGTTATCATCTGACAAAAAATGCTTCTTCTGAAAACTTTTTTTTAATACTTGGATTTTCTGAAACACTTTGAATAAGTTTATAAAAATTTGAATAAGCTTACAAAAATTTTTAAAAAGGGTGCTCTGCTCTTTTATGTCCCTTTCAACTGTGATAAAATTGTAGCACATATTATATGTGACTTTAAAAAACTAAAATGAAATAAATACAAAATTTGTAAATTAATAAATAAAAATTTTGTAAATAAATTAATAAAATAACAGAGGAAATGTATTACTTAAGTTGAATTTACCATAGTAGTATAATTTAGAAAAGTCATGTACAGTGCCTTGTAACAGAGTAAATAAGAAATGCAAAGTGTTTAGTGAACTTTAATATTTCCATGAACTTTTGGATAGTGCTTTGTGCATTCTGCATAATGTTTTAGGCATATAAATGATGAATTTTATAAGACAGAGCATAATGAAACTATGGAATAGAAAATAAGTTGGGAAATATAATATAGAAAATGTGCCATATTTATTTCTTGGACGGAAAATTTCTATTTAAAATATATACACATGAAAAAATATTTGGAGTATTTTCTTTTGTTACATATGTTGCTTCTTTTTTAAAACTGTGAAATATATTTTCTCTATTTTAAAATTTGCATTTGGTTTATTAATTTGATTTTATGGTTTGAAATAAAATTATTGTTATTACTATTATAGGTTATGGCTGGTACTGGAGATTTAGGTGTAATTCGTATTTGTCGCCATTTAAGATCTAGAGTTAGTCAAGCTTCAAGCTATGTTTTATATGGTTCTCATATGGTTACTCATATGGCTTTGGGTCTACTTTTCTTAGGTGGAGGAAGGTAATGTGCTTTATTTAAATGATTATAGACAAGTGTTTAGTCAATCTTTAAATGTATTAAATTGTAAAAATTTTTAATGCATTCTTGGCATGGAAATGATCAGGTGGCAATAAGTAGTTCATTCGTGCTGATTTATGCTTGAAGCAGAATGTAATTTTGTTTTGTAAATCTACACTGTACTTATCTGATTGCTTGATTATATCTAGTTTGCATGCAATGGCACATTAATTTTTGTTCATCCTGTTTAAAGAAACTAATGGTTTTACTCCAAAATCTTGCTACAGAAGTTATGTTGCTTCCAAAAACAACAGTTTATACCTTTCTCTTCACTTGTGTGCTCTTGCTGTGTATATAGATAGGTAAAAGCACAGTGGACAAAAACATTCATGACAGAAGCCTCTTTAAATAAAAATAAATTAAAAAAAAACACTGCAATGATCATGGATAAAAGCATACACTGATAAAGGCCCCCTCCTTCCCCCAAAAATTTCATTGCTGTATGCCTCACTCTGATGCCAAGACATTCTCATTTCACCTGACTCCGCCATGAAGTGTGCTGTTTATCTCCTGCACCATGGTATGCTTTAAATTATTGCCATTATATACTGCTATCTACTGAGTTAACTCATGTTATTGATTTTGCCTTCAGGTGTGGTGTGTTTTAAAACATACTCCTTTTACTACTTATAACATTAATGGCCTCTGGTATAATGTTTAATTTACTGGTTATAGCTCCTAGTAGCTGATGCCAGAAGTATAGATATGATCCAAGCCCTCCACAGATATATATGCCCATAAAAGAGGGTATTTCTTCTATGACTTTTAGTTTATACAAAGCAAATTTATGAAAAAAGATAAATTAAAAACTTATTAATTACATTAAATTAATGACGAATAGTAAAATAATAAATTTAAGTAATGGAACACATTTTATTTGTGGCTCATGCTGAATTATTTTATTATACAGACACAGATATAACGGGGAGTAAATTTTTAATAAATATAATTATACTTTTATATGCTTCAGAAATACAATTAATATACATATTGTCATGTGTGCATAAATTTGTTATTAGCCAAATTCTGAATGAGTCCGACAAGGGGAGGTGTTACCACTATAAATACATTCTATATCGATAAAAATCATGTGGGCTTTTATCCATATTCACTTTCATCTGTGTGGGTATTTCTTGATTCAAAAACTTTTGCAGTAATTTTTTTTTGGGGGGGGTGTGATGTGTGCGGAGGGAGTTATCATTATATTCTTTAAGATTTGTATCAGTTTTTAATGATCATGATATAAATTATTTTTTTCCATATTTATTTCATTTACTTCTTCAAAATCTTCTCTTCCTGTTTTTCATGCTATAGAAAGAAAATTGAAAGGAGAATTAAATGATAGCATTTTCAAGCTGTATTTCAAAAATTTCTAAATTTTAGATCATCATATTAATTTAAAAGTTAAACAACAAAAATCAGCATTATATTTTCAAATTTTCACAGGACTAGTTTTGATGGTTTTACTGAACCATCATCCTCAGCTGCAAAAGCGCAAATGAGCGAGATAAGATATAATGATAAGAAAAGACAAGAAAGCATGGACAGGAGATAAGCTACCGGCACCATCTGTTAATGAAACCAGAACTAAAACATAATTTCTATAAAGGCTGAAGTCAAAGATGGATTTTAATAGGGTCGTTAACAAGAACAGAAATATTTTTTTAATGTGAAATGCCTCTAGAAAATCCAGTTCACCAATGGAAGATGTTTTTTGAATAATTTTGGCAGTAGAAAAATTGAAAGTGTGATTTTCGGACCAACAAATGTTGGACAACAGAAGACTTCTGTGTGTCCTTTTTTCCAACATATGCCTCACGTTCCTTAGGTCAAAATTTTAAGGCTCTCTTAGTTTATCCAATGTAAATTAAGCCACACTGGCAAGTAATCTTCTAAATACCCCAGGAATTCATATCCGGAATGGGGTTCTTGAATATGGAACTCGGAACTTTATTGATGGGAGAATAAACGACCCAAAAGTTAAATTTCTGCAATTCTGGCTTTCTTATCTTACCTATCTAATTATCATATCTTATCTCGTTCATTTGCGCTTTTGCTGTTGAGGATGATGGTTCGGTAAAACCATCAAAACTACTCCTGTGAAAATTTGAAAATATAATCCTGATTTTTGTTGTTTGACTTCTAAATTAATATTTGTTCGGCATGTTATTGTATCTTAATTTTAGATCATCAGTTTAAATCTTGTAAAAATAACATCTAGACATTGCAGCATCGAGACTTCAGCATGACTTTTATTTTTCAACTGTTTTTGAGTATACTCAAAACATTGTGGTTTGGGAGCTGGAACAATGAGCATATCTATTAATTCTTTATTGCCACATATACTCTTGGTTCCATGCTTGGTAAAGTTATTATGCAGTAAAGTAAGCGGTCATGCTTTTTTCCCTGAAATATATTTGTATCATCTTTTGATTTAAAATCCATGTATTTGTCAACTAATAAGCAAAAATTTGAGCTGTACAGCAAGACATTACTTTTATGAATTATCTATGAATTTTTATTGTTTAAATACATGATACTTCCATGTCTGACTTAATTATTTTTGCATTGGATTCTAACCATTGTTCAAATCATTTTGAGATGAAGACTTGATAGAATAGATATAGCCTTGAATATGCTGTGGAAAAAAGAAGAAATGTATGATACATCTATTGAGAAAAATGTCTTTGGATATTAATTAATGCAGACCAGGTTTGATAACTGATAGAAGAATGTTCTTTCTTTTGGGAAACATGTTTCCATAGTTATTAATGATGCAGCTAGAAAAGTCATCAACATACAAAAATTTTTCTTCTTTTGAAGAACCTGTGCACAAGAGGCAGTGGGAATAATGAAAGAAATTTTAGTTTTTAAAATGAAGCAGTTGGAATCAGTTCTGAGATAGCCGTCTTTGGATAAAAAAATAGTTAAATCAGTATGATTATTGTTAATTATTATAAACCAATATTGTGAATCACCTTCACCCTACCTCTTTCTGATACAAATTGAATCAGGCTTTTTATTTTTGCTATGCATATATATATATATCATGATGATCTTGTAGGACATTCTAATTTAGTGATATTATATATAAATATGATAGAAATTTAATAACAAATTAAACTTAAGTGGAACAAACTGACAATAAATCTTTAAATTTCTTATGTTCAATTAATGCATAATCTTCTTCAGGGTATCTGCATCAGTTTTTCTTGGCTATGACTGAAAATTGATTGCTTTCAAAGCTCTTTCGATGTATCAACAAAATTATTGCATTTCTCATAAAATAAAAAATTAGGTTTTCTTCTACTAATATGTAAGCTGTAGTTTTTCTAGGCCATGACTAAAAGTTGATTAGTTTCATCTTCTCCAGCCAACTTTCTAATAAATTCTACCAACGTACAAATGAAGTTATTATATCTCTTATATGACAGATGTAACAATATTGCTGTTATGTTGATAGAACGTTGAAGCCAATCACGTTTTAGTCATGGCCGAGAAAAACTGATGCGTAAATATGACTGGAGGGAAAATCACACCTGGCTTGATGGTTGAAATGCCATTTTTATTGTGAACAGGAAAAGTTCTTCAGAAATACATTTTCTCAGTTGGTATAACACTAAGGGTGCTAAATGCACCTCACAATTTTTATAACTGCAGCTATCATTTTAGAGAATAGGAAAATAAGCTTAGCAATGAGACATGCCTTTCCTAGGCAACGGCAAGCAAAAAAGGTGATACATAATAATTGCAGTAATATTTATAAACTAGGAAAATCCTTGTTTTAATCCTGAGTTGCAATTGGGCAAAAGTCTATAGTAATGCAGTAACTGCAGGGAAAAGGCTGATGCCTTAAAGGGGGTTGTAAATTGATTAAAAATTAGGAATTTAAAGGTTTATTGTCAGCTTGTTCCAATTAAGTTTAATTTGTTAATAAATTTCTATCATATTTTTATATCTCACATACATGTTCATGCATCCATGTGTGTGCATGTGAATGTGTGTATTTATTTGAGCATTAGGCTAATTAATATATAAAACTGCAGTGTAAAAATATATCTATTTCAATGTTTTCATTATGAAATTGAAATGTTACACATCAGCTATGAGTAAGTCAAACATTCTATCTTTGTAAATTATGAGTTATTGTATACACAACGCAATTTAAAATTTCATACCTAAAACATAATCTCATGACATTTCTGTTATTGGTTATTGTGGCTATTAGTTGCCATAAACTGATTAATATTTCAATAATTTATATCTTTAAGAATTTTGAATAGCTAGCATAATATAGTTTACTAAACAACAATAGGTATATTTTTAACACAATTATATGTGTGATTCCTAATGCATTAAGATTATCTTTTTGTTATCTTATTGAGACTGCTATCTATACCAAAAGACTGATGTTTCTTACTTTCCATACATTTACTTTACAATCTTGAAAAAGTTTATTTTAACAATATATTTTTATTTGCTACAGGTATTCTTTGAGCACATCTCCTTTATCCATTGGAGCTTTGGTCTGTGCTTTTTTCCCCAAATTTCCTCAACACAGTAATGATAATAGGTATTATTATTTTTTTTAATATATATATAGATATAGATAGATAGATAGATCAAAAACACTATTCTATATTCCATTTGGTGTAATAGTTACTCCACGACATGCATATAAATTATTTTCTTTTTTTTCCTTACTGATTTCATCTGTTTTAAAAAGAAATAGAAGTTTGTATCTAGATCTAATGTTTACGTTAAGGTTATTTCAGTTTACAAATTTATCATAATAACACAAGTGTATTTTACATAATTAATGCAAATTTTTTTTAAAAAAATCCATCATGAAATTCCTTGGAAAATATACTTAATGACAAATGAATTTTCTTATTCCTGGTGTACTTTTTAAAATATGAATTTTTTGGGGGGAGGGGAGGGGGTAATGCAAAATATAAATAAAAATTTTCTTCTTACTAAATACTGCTATATTCAAAGGGTTCATGAAAAATACTCACTTTACAACTAATTCTGTTTGAAATATGCAAAACTTATTTAGTAATATTTGAAGTAAAATATATCAAAAAACTTTAAATTGTGGCAGTTTTCCCGACATTTCTAGAAGCAGCAGAAGAATGCTTTCTTTGGTATTTTCATACACTGGTCATCTCATCATTTCAGATAGCTTTTTGAACTGATAGAACCATGCTGATAAGAGAGAACAAACAGCAGCAAGGTTAAAAAAAGTCTGTCATTAAAGATATGACATTGTGATGAGCATTTTCTAATATAAAAGACCCAAGCTTCTTTGCTTATATGTCTTTTGTATAAAATACTGTGTTGTGCTAAATGTTCAAGAGATGCTTTAATTACGTTTGTATCACAACATAACCATTTTGCCCTTGATGTTGTGACTTAGAGAGTGCACTAATGCCATCTAATAATCGAAATCAAATATTGCAAATTTTGCAGATGTAACATGACTTTTTCATGAACTTTTTGAACACAGGATTAAGTATAGAATACCTTGTGAATAAAATATTGATTGATATTAATTTTACTCGTTAATAATATTAATGAAATTTGTTTTTATTAATGTGATTTCCAGATACCACTTGCAGGCTTTTTATCATCTGTATGTTTTAGCTGCGGAACCTCGATTAATAATTCCACGCCTCATAGATTCACATAAACCTGTGTATATCAACATTAAAGTTAAATTTAAGGTAAAATAATTTGATTAATTAAGTAATGAAGTTATGAATATATATATTTTTTGTAATTATGTAAAGAAGTTTAGGTACAGTATTATTTTTGGCACAAATGCAGCTTTGCATTCACAACAGTGTAGCACATATGTAAATTTTCCTCAGTTATTACCATCGTAGAGAATTTATAGTTTACTGTAAGCATTTGTTAAATTAATTCATTTGATAGTAAAAAGTTATTGTAACTAAGCATAAATTTTTTAATATGCTTGCTTATATTGTTGCATTTGTAATTTCTGAGTTTTCACTTTTTTAACATTTATTACAAGTAATTTTGTGGTATGATTATGATAGTTCTGCTTCTTGTATGTTCAGTTACTTTAATAAATGCTTGGAAGAAATGATAACTTGTGTATTTATTATTTTAAAAGATTTATCTGTGTCTCTGTAAAAGGCTGAATCATTTAATGGAAGAGGAAAGATTGAAAGAAAACATTCTGAAACATTAAAATTAATAAAATAATCCAATAAATGTAAATTTTTAGAATAAATGATGTAAAAATTAGATCTAAATTTGGGAATTTCTTACCAAGATTTAATAAATGTGATTTTAAATGTATCATTTTTATTAACTGTATTGAATGATTGAGGGAATTAAGTTAGGTAAGGGCAAAGGATTCCTTTACAAGGTAAAGGATAAGAGAAACTCACAAAAGTTTAATGAAGTGATACATTGTATTAACAAATTAATAGTTATTGTTTTGTAAAATATATATGTAGTGTCTCCTTAAACTTTTATGCCTATAATTTAATTAGCTCAGTATTTCATAAAGCATGGAAGTAAACATGCAAATTACCAGTATCTTTGGGCATGGATTCAGGTACTGAGGTATTAAAACCGTGACTGCTTAAATTTGAAATATTCCAAATATTCTCCTAAAGAATACACTTCCATTTCAGACATCAAAACATTATTGTCTTTAAGGTATTAGAAATGAAGATGAAAGGTCAAGTAATACTCAGTCAATTATAATATAAACCAACTTTTTTCCCATTTATTTAAAGAATGAAATATATGTGAAGTGTTACTCTATTTTCATTTTTAACAGCTGCTGTTACCACATTAAAACATTTCTGCATTCTCTGCAGCTAACTTACTGTTGCCATTCTTTTGTAACTAAATATTTAGAGCAAGCTGAGTTCATTTCATTTTTTCATAAAATTTGTGTATTACAATTCCTGATAAAATAAATAAATTATTCTTGTTTTTCCTTGGTAATTATGTCTATTAGTAAAATGAAGAATTATTATGAGAATTAAATTAATAATATATTATAAAGACAAACTAATAATTAGAGGCTATAGAAATTAATAATTTAAGATAAAATGAATTTTGAAGTTTGACTATCTCTTTTCATTGTTTTGCTTGCTATATGAATAAGCTTTTTTAGTCTAAGCCTTGTTCTTGTTTACTCCCTGAAGGCCTTTTCAGGAAAACAAAATTAACAAAAATAGTTACATATAGTGGTTGTTTTTACTCATAAAAACATTTTTACTACTGTAAAATTCTAAAATGACAACCAAGTGGAAATAAATTATAAACAGGAACACTTACATTTTCAGCTGTGTACTGCTTTGGCTGAAGTAATATTTAAATAAACACTTTCTTAAATAGTAGCTGATAATTTGTAAATAGTTATGCATAGTATGGATAGCAGAAATAAGTGGTAGAGGTAGAGAGTTAAAGGAAGCTTCTATTTGTATAACTAATGTATAAAGCTCTTTGAAATTTGAAATTGTTGTTTCCGCCACGTTTATCGAAATTCTCTTCATTGATTTTATATCAGCCTCCCACAATCCACCAAAATGTGGTGAACAAGGAGGAATAAAATTCCATGTTATGCTTTCTTCAGAACTAAAGCATTGAACCGGATTTTATCTACAAATTCTAAGGAGGTTATCAAGAATATTTTTCGCTCCTTTGAAGTTTGTAACATTATAACTCCTAACAATGGATGGCTTAGATTGTCTGGCAATAAAGCTTCTAAGATGTTCTAGAAGTGATTCAGTAGACAAAATTAGTACTGTTTCTAAATGAATAGCCTTTGTACTAAAGCATATAAATATTGCAATATATGATTTTAAAGTAATTCTAGATCTTTTCAAATTAGGTTTGGTTTAAATTGGTCCTACAAACTCTAATCCTGTTTTTTCAAATGATCTAGTAGTTACTGCTCTATCTCTAGGTAAATCCCCGGTCTTTTTTTTTTTTTTTTTTTTTTTTTTTTTTTAAATTTGGTTTCTTGTTCAAAAGCAAGTCATTTATAACACATCTCGCTCTGCCTTATCCAGAAGGTAGCCAATATAATTATCTAATAAGAGAAAGTGCTGTTTAAGTGCCAGGGTGAAGAGTTTTTTTATGATAATATGAGTAATTCAGAAAAATTATATCTTTTTGGTAAAAAAATTGATATTTCTAAACTTCTGAAAGGTGGGAGAAACTTAATTTCCAACCAGCTCAAAATTCATCCCTGCCAAGAAATGCATTTAAAGATAAAAACCTCACTTTTACTTGGAATTGGTCGTTTTGACAGCTAGCACCTAATTTCATATTGAAACTCAGAATGCTGTATACATTTGACTACCATTCTATATTTCAGAAGCATTCAGACAACTTTTCTTTTCTTAATGGTTAGCTGATTTTACTATTGTTCACAAATCATAAACATCACAAAGTAATTCTAATCAATTTACTAAATGATGAATGCTTTTTGATGAATTTGTTCTCCATGGAACTTTAACCTGTAGCTGTTGAGTTGTGCACAACTCCTTTCCAAAGTTCAAGTTTTCCTTTATCTTGAAACTCCTGTACTGATTCTGCAAGTTTAGGCCACAAATCAATACTCTGTAATAACCACTTAGGTCCATGCTACCACACATCACTATTTCATATTTCAGGTAATGTTATTCCTTTCATGGATTTTGTCTTTGTTCCTCTTATCAGCATGTCAACAGGATTTTCATCTCCAGGACAGCTCAATATAACATCAAAGAAGAATCTGTCCAAAAATGTAAATTCATCTGCAGCTTTTACTCTTGTTTTTCTATGTCATTTGAGACTAAATCTTAGTCTGACGAGTGCTCCCAGCAGTTCCTAGTCTTGAAAGTGACAGCTTCTTCATAGGAGCTACTCAGGTTTTGGAAATTACAAAATTACTCCTTATTTCATTGTTTTTGTGACATATCACAGATATATCACTGCTCCATATGCTTTCAGTATTGAGTCGGTGAAGCAGTTCATTTAAACATATCTCAATTCAGACTTACTATTCTTTCAGAAGTCATGTTATGGAATCTTTATATTCTGAATCACTGATAGTTCATTAGACCATTTTCTCATTCTGTTTCTAAGTTTGGTGGCAATGAATTGTCACAGTATATACCAAGGTGCCAAATTTTCTGCATTAGTATTTTTACTTTAATAGTGAATGGATGTATAAATCTAATAGGATCATAAAGTTTTCCAACATTTTTAAGAACTTCTCTCTTTGTGATTAGCTTTGTTTTCTCTTGAGCTTGATTGCTTAGAGATTTTATCTTCAAAAGGTCTTCCTTGTAACTCCAATTATATCCCAGTACCTTTTTCCCAGAACCTTCTGGATTTCACTAATTTCATGTTCGTCAAAAACTTCTTGCAAATTCTCACACTTTGTCTTCTATTTTCATATGCTGAAACTGGCAGCTTCCGATATAATTTTAATGTCTTCATGTATGAGTTTAGCTTCATTTTCATCTTCCGTGCCACCTATTAAATCATCTGTGTATCAAAATTCATTCAATAGTTTAACAGTTTTTTGATTTTGTTCAAAGGTATCTATGTGGTTTCTCATACTAGTGGCAAGCAAAAATGGGCTGGATGTAATTTGAAACAAAAACATGAGTAATTCTAACCACTTTTGTATTGGATTCTCCATCTTTATCTGCAAGATTATTTGTCCACAAAAATTTCATAGCATCCCTATCTTCAGTAAAATTTGGAGAAAGGCTTGTTTGATCTTGGCAGTAAATGCTATATTATGCATGCAAAAATGTATTAATAATTCTAACAACACTGGATTTAAATTAGGACAGGAATAGAGACAATCATTTAAAGAATATTCATTTTTTTTTAATAGCTGGATGCATCAAACGCAATTCTTAAGGGTTTCTCAGGTCGTAAAACTCGCTGGTGAGGCAAGTAATAAATTCTCCCTATTTCTTCAGAGCTTTGATTAGTTTCCTCAGCTATAAACATTTTTAAATGCTGTTTTATACCTGACTGATACTGCTGATGAAGCAGTGAATCATTTCTCAGTCTTTTTAGTGGCCTAGGAATGGCATTATAGGCTACTCCACCTAATAGCAGCTTAAAGTAATTAAATTTATTTACTTTCAAATAAGAGTCATTATTATGGATAGCTGCTTCATACTGACTCCAAAATTTCTGCCAATTACTTGAATAACCAAAAATATTTCTTTATTATAAGTTTTGGGACCTTGATGATATTTGTTGCACATATGGTGGTTGATTCATTAAACATATTAGTAATCAAACTCATAATAGAATCTAAATTTCCTGAAAGCTCTTCCAGCGTTTAGAAACCCTGCATTTCCATAACATTATCTTATTTTAATAAATGTGTAAAGCTTGGATTTCGAATTAGGCTCCTCGTAATAGTTTTTCAGTATCACTATTTAAGTGATTGAGTAAATCTCGTTTAACTATTAATTGTTCAAGATGTTGTTATAAACATCTGAAAACTGGTAGAGGATCTCGTATAACATTTTTAATTTCTTTAAATGGTTTAGTTGTTAGGGAATGTGTTCTACTTCTTTTAATTTTAAAAGATACTTCTTTTTCAATAAACAGACAGCCCAGGATGAGCCCTTGCCTTCCTCAGAATCGAATTTCAAGCTCTTCTGTCCCTGGCCATGGTCATCCAATTGGTTATTTTTAAAATTCTTAAGTCTGTTTCCAAACAGTCGAGCCACCTAAGTTTAGGTCTCCCTCTTTTTTTGGGTGCCGAATGGTCTGGCCGAGATCTTTTTACATACTTGATTTTCATCCATTCTGCACAGGTGTCCTGCCCATTTAATTCTCTGAATCCTTATATATTTTACTATATCTATTTCTTTAAAGGATTTATAGAGTTAGCTCTTCTTCTCCAGATATGTTACATTTTATGCCACCAAAAATACTTCTCAAAATTTTTCTTTCAAAGACAGAAATGATACTTTTAGCTTTTTCTGTCATTGTCCAGGTCTCAGCAGAGTATGTAAGAATGGGTATGATTAAGCTTTTATAAATTAAAATATTTGTTTTTCTGCTAGCGAAGTTAGACTTCAAGTATTTTTTAGACTAAAAAAGCATCGGTTAGCATCTGTGATTCTAATACGGATCTTGGGCATTAAATCATCGAGAGTATTAACATCTTATCGTAAATATTTAAATTTGTTAACAGTTTCAAATTTCTAATTCCCAATTTCAAAATAGAGACTGCTGTTATTACCACATGGCATGTATTTAGTTTAATTTTGGTTGTTTGCTAGATGCATTTTGCTGGCTGCAGCCTCTAGAGATGTAAAAGCCTAAGTGACTCGGGAGTGCTTGCGACTATGTCAGTATCGTCAGCAAATGCAAAAACCTGAACAGATTTGTTAAAGACAGTTCCACAAGTATTAATGTTGGAGTCTTTTATGATTTTTTGGAGGGCAAGGTTAAAAAGGAAGCAGGCCAGTGCATCGCCCTATCTGAGCCCATTTGAAGCAACAATAGGCTCAGAAAGATTAGTCTGGATTTTAACCCTAAGTTTTTGTCTCAGTAAGAGTAATGGTGACCAAATTTATAAGTTTTTCAGGTTTTGCAAATTCTCTCATAGCTTCAATTAAATATTTTCTGTTTATTGAGTCATAGGCAGTCTAAAAATCAACAAAAATGTGGTGCACTGCAATGCCATATTCATTAGTTTTTTCCAAAATTTGCCTAATGTTAAAGATTTGTTCTGCTGTAGATCTTCCTTTGCGGAAACCACATTGGTAATCACCTACAATATTTTCTGTATAAATTACTAGTCTACTAAAAAGTATATTGGAGAATAGTTTGTAGAAAACACGAAGGAGACTGATTCCCCTATAGTTGGTACATTCCAAAATGTCTCCTTTTTTATGTATAGGACAGATGATGCTCAGTTTCCAATCTTCGCATAAAGCTTCTTGGTTCCAAACTGATTCTATAAGGTGGTTTATTTCCTCAATGTTTTCACCTGCAGCACTTTTAATGAGTTCTAAAGTAATTAAGTCAGGGCCTGGGGCCTTGTTATTTTTTAGCTTTTTAAAAAATACTAATTTACTCGATATCAATAACTAGATCAAAGAATTCAAATAAAAGTGAGTTACCTAATTCCAGTGAATGAGAACAAGAAATGCAAATACTTTTCCAAGTAAATCCAAGCGTAGCCAGTTTCAGCTTATTTGAAGTAAATTAACTTAAATCCAGTACACAAAGTAAGTGTCATATCAAAAAATCAAAAGCATAATTATGCACCGATGCAACCAGATTTGCAAATGGACAGTAATGGCGTGGCATTTCTAACAATGGCAGTTCTACAATGAATGTAAATGCCTCATCTAAATTTCTACACATGTAGTTCAGTGGTATTCCTATATAATATCAACATTCAATCTTATTTAAAAGGGAATTTATTAGAACACCATGACAAATTAATCTAATCTGTAATTTGTTTAACATCTCATCAGCAGCATTCAAGCTACATCAAAGAAATGGAAATGGAAAGGGAAGTTCTAAAGTTCACACTGTTGCCACTTAATGTCTCTGAATGAATGCACTTTCACTGATTTTTGCATTGCCATTCAAAGGCAGAGAAGAGTGTATTCAAACCGGAACAATATTTGTATTCTATACCCAAGCATTACTAAATTGAAAGAAAGCTGATAAAGATAGCTATAGTTATATGATAGATGTATAAAATTTAATTAATAAGAATTTTAGGAATGTGCTAGAAGAATACTATTTCTAGTATACTGTTACATCAAATTTTAAAAAATAATTATCTGCGAAAATTTTCAGAAATATGAGAAATACTTATTATTTTCTTCCACCTGAATTTAATTTTACATATATGTGTAAAAATATGCTTATTATTTTCAAACTCCAAGGACTTTCATTACTGTTCAAATAATAGTTATTGCGCTAAAACAGAGTATTAACTATATATTCTTCTCATGAATGTCATAATATATTTCATTATTTATTGCAAGTAAATTATTAATTGGAATTTATATTTAATCCTTGTAGCTTTTATAATGCAAATTGTTATTTCCTGATAATAATTAATAAATTAAAATGTATTACTGTTTGCAGGATACTCCTTTTTATCAAAATGCTGAATACACTGTCAGAGCACCTTGTTTACTTCCAGAATTGAAATTTCTAAAGCAGGTTAGTTTGTGGTTTTCATGTATTGTGAATGAATAATGTAAGTGAAACGAAATCTTTATGATCGCATGACAGAATTTTAGTTTTTGCATCAAGTAGTAATTTTACATAAGGTACTTACATTCCTTTTACATAAGGTATTTACATACATTAACTTATGAAGATTAATTAAAATTGTAATTAATCTGAGGAGGAGGGGACCCATTCGTCAAATCCTTGTGGTGCTGAATTACTTTCTGCCACTTTTAGAGTCATTATGTGTATATATGATATTACAAAATATGATAGCTGTTTCAAAAAAATAATTGGCGACGAAATTTAACATTCTAAATTTGGTGATGTGCCCCTAAATTCATCTCTTCCCACAGGTTCCAGATTTTTCTATCGTATGTAATGTTTTAATGCTGATGCCTCTTGTCCAATCAAATTAATTGTAAACCAAAACTCTGAACTGAATCTTTCCCACTCCCAACCTTCTTCCTCTGAAAGTACTATAACTCTCCCCCTCTTCTGCGTAAGCTCTCCTGCTGGCAAGATGCTTTTTATGTATGGTGCTGCTGCTTACTTGCTTAAAATGACGTCGTACTTCAAAATGCAACTTACTGTATTCAAATATAATTAGGAAACATCTTGTCTGAAAAAGGATGATTTGATATGCCTAAAGAAATAAAGATTGTGATTTTTCAAGATACGTTGTACTACATTGCATCTTCATGCTTTCCACTCTGCCACACTATGGTATTCTTGGTCGCAGTATCTAAGCTGTTAAAAGTTCCACTGTTTTCATCTATACATTTGGAATCATTACATATTTATAAAATGTCAAGACAGGATTAATCTGCTGCAAGTTTCCCCAATAGTCTTTGAACTCTCCTCCCTCAAACTTCCAGTGAATCATCAAATTTGTTTCCAGTGTGTGATTTAACAGCATATTCTAAAAGTGCTTTGAAATCATCGAGTATCTGTAAGTTCAAAATCGAAACTGTTTCGAATCAAGGTCAGTACCGCCAACATAGTGAAACATGGTTACTGGTTCTCGCTTGCTTCGAATATTTGTAATGCGTTTCCAATCATCGTGTAAAAAGAAAAGCATCCAAAGTACGTTGAAGATCAGCAACCTCATGAGTGAAATAGTGTTTTGTGCACATTTTGCGTTTTTTCAGTGCTCTTGTTAAAAGAATGGAATATTATCAAAAATTATTAATGTGATAGTGAAGTAGTATTAAGTTCCAAATTGAGTGAATTAATATTTCAAAAAAAATTTTGCATTTATAACTCATTTTATTGATGGCAATGTTTTGCTTAAATCATTTTAAAATCATAGTTAATAATTCAAAAATATGAATTTATTTAAAATGTAGTTCTGTATTTCTGAATTGGGAAAAAGAAATTATTGAATTTGGTAAAAATTCGGTAAGGAATTTGAAGATTTTACTTAGTGAAGGTTCCTAATACAAATAATATTTTTGTACTACTGTTTAAATTTCTTTGAATTTATATTTTTTAGTTTTTACTATATTTTAAGAATGAAATTATTGTTTGAAAATTTTAAATTCTAGGAATTTCTTTAATGTTTTCAAGATAAACGTTGAAAACTCTCACCTTATGAAAAAATGTGTTTTTTTAATATAAGTATTTTTATTTTTTCATAAAATAGAGTGTGTTTAATTTTCATAATTGAATGACAGCAGTTTGAAAAAGGCCATTTGCCTTTATCGAAGGAACGGAGGCCTTTTCTACAGTAACTGCTAATTTGGCAAATCTTTTGGCTACTGGTAAAGAATAAACACCAGTTTGCTCAACTGATAAACCAATATGATGGATATGCTGGTATTTAGAGAATGCTGTGAAGTCTTCAAGTTTTGTAAAGAATAAGTAAATTTAAAAATGTCTTAATAATAGTGAAAAGTTTGAAATTTGTTGTGTTTATGAAGGATGTGTTGCAAAACTTTTATATTTTAAAAATGCCTTCCCTAAAAAACATAATTAAATAACATGAAAGTTGGCATCTTAATTTGTATTATAATAGAAATATTTTCATCAACAAAAATTGGAAAGACTTTTATTTGAACATTTACTTCGTGAAAAAATTTGAACTTTTGCCGTGAGGAACTATCAAGAAATTTACAAAATTTATTCTACATTCTTATTTCAGGACTCTAAAATATGCAATTCTTTTAAAAGAATACAGTGCTAAAATTAATTATTGAATTGAAAATTTTATGACTTCCAGTGAAATTTCGAAGTATCAGTCAAACTTTTATGACAATAATTTTTTGTTTAAAAGTTAAATAGGTTTGTTAATATGTTTTGTATTTTCAAAATTGTATTTTTCAAATTTTGCTGCTCTAATGCTTGTTCTTCCACCCTGCTCACCCAACCTTTCTTTTGAAGGGGGTATGTAAGATATAACAAAATATGATAGCTGTTTCAAAAAAATAATTGGCGACCTTAAAATTAACATTCTAAATTTGGTAGTTTGTCCCTAAATTTATCTCTTCTCACAGGTTCCAGATTTTTCTATTTTACATAACGTTTTAATGCAGATGCATCTTGTCCAGTTAAATTAATTGTAAACTAAAACTCTTAACTTAAACTTTCCCACACCCAACCGTCTTCCTCTGAAAGTACTGTAACTGTTCCCCTTTTCCGCATAAGCTCTCCTGCTGGTAAGATGCTTTTTATGTAGGCTGCTGCCGCTTACTTGCTTAAAATGATGTCGTACTTCAAAATGCAACTTACTGTATTCAAATATAATTAGGAAACATCTCGTCTGAAAAGGGATGATTTGATATGCATAAAAAAGTAAAGATTATGATTTTTCAAGATATATTGTGCTAAACTTCATCATCATGCTTTTCACTCTGCCACACTACGCTATTCTCGGTCATTTACGCAGTATCTAAGCTGTTAAAAGTTCCATTGTTTTCATCTATGCATTTTAAAATCATTACACATACATATATTTTTAAAGCAGGTAACAGGAAAAAATGAGTAATGCCTTTGTCAGGATTTGAACTCTAATGCTAGCCCATTGGGCTTTCCAGTTATATTATGAAGGCATGCGGCAAAGAGGGAGAAAATACCTTGCAATATTATCCGGGTGAAACAAGGCATGGCTATACTCTTATAATACATGCAATAAAAGAATGTTTCATTTTAATCTCAACTGATTTTCCTAGTTCATTTTTATATTTTTATACTATATTAAATTACTTTCCTTGTATAATGTGCAATGATATGTTCTCATTTTTTTTTACTAAATGTACTGAAAAGGTGTACCTAGCATGAATTGCAGTCAGCTGTTGGAAAATCTTCTTATTTTTACAAATAATGTGATGGCTCTGTAGTTGTTAGGGATGAGATATTTGAATGAATAAATCTTTCAAATCTTAAAAAAGCTTCAATATTTTAAAAGTCAAATTTTTGTGCTTTTTTTTCTTTATTCGGATATTTTTAATCCTATATAATTCTCCTATTTTTTTCAAAGTATGCTTATCTAATAATACTTCATACAGAGTTATTTATTTGCTGTCAGCTAGTTATTGCTTTTATTACAGTCAATTCTCACACAAAAGTAGATTTACAATTCAGTAAAACTTTATTTGTCTGCTCTTTGTGGGTTGCAAGTAAAATTAGAATGTATAACTCAAGAAAATGATTAACTTCTCAATAATAATGTTAACAATTAGGCAGCTTGTCTTGGATATTATAATTATCACAGAACAGACCAATCGGGACAAGCAAACCAGACACCTGACTCATTGACGAGACCTGACCTATCTTGTGATGCTAGACACCAGATTTGACACCAGTCCTGAGTCAGGTGTGTGGTTATCTCAAACCAGACACCTAACTGATTGATCAACCAATTATTATAAAGTCACTTACTAATCTTAAATAACAAATGGGAAATACTGTGGTGATTTCTCCATCTACAAATTCTCTCAAGACAGCCCTGCAATTGATGTTTAATTCCATTAAGCATCAATTGCAGTTAACTTTGAAATTTTAAAACTGATTTTGAAAGTTTTTTTTTTTTTTTTCTTAGTATGTGTGTGTGAGTGCACGTGTGTGTATGGTTGTGTTCGTGTAGAAGCTTTTAATTCGCTACTGTTTGGCTTGAGTGAATATATGTCATGAGAATCAAAAGGAAATAGAACAGTATTTATTTTAAGCTTAATTGTCAGTAAAACTGCAAAAATAATTGTCATAGCATAAAAGACCTTTGAGCATTGCAACTCAAACTTTAAAAAGACTAATTTTATGGAAGTCAGGTAGAAACATTCATTAATTGCCATATGGTTCTGAGAGTAAAGTAGGACAGTATTTAATTTAATTCTAGTAAAAATTATCATAATGTAAAAAAGTTGTCAAGTATTTTAATTCAAACTGAAAAATTTAATTTTTTCGAAGTCCATTAGAAAAGCATTAAAAAAGGAATGTGATTGCTGTAATTTCAGTGGCTGTGGCTCTTCATATCCTATCATCTGCCAAAATGTTCAAGTAATTTTGATCTTGAAAATTCTTAAAACTACTTTTGAATCATCTTCCATAACTCTGCACACAGATGATTTCATTTGTCCTGGATTTTCTAGGAATTCATGCATTGGTATATAATTTTGCTTTGCACATGATTCCAATTGCCCAGCTTCTAAATTACTTAGCCACATCTGTTGCATTTTGATTTGTTAATTGATATCTGAACTCGTACTCAAGTATTTTTGTTGAATTCTGTTGAAGAAATGAACTTCCTAAGTCAAGAGTTTTAATTATGTACTATACACATAAAATTGAATTTGTTTTTTCTTAATAAGTGTATTTTTAAAACTTCTGCTTATAAGTTTATTTCTTATACAAATTTCACATTTTGTTTTATTTAAAGACTTTTAAGTAATTGCTTTTTTTAATCTTCTTATTTAAAGCTTCAAGATATTCAAAAGATTTGAGAAACCTAAAAAGATTTGAGATTCAAAAGTTTTGAGAAGGATTTGGTTTCAAGATTATAATGATTGAAAATTATTACATTGCTGTTTATTTCAATTTCCTTTACACACATTTATATCATATGATATGTACTCAAACTTGGTAAAATTATAATTGGATTTTAAAAAAAGATATTTTTAAGTAAATAAAATTAGTTATTGGTTAAGAAGGGCAAAAGAAGTAAGCATTAAGAGAGTGATTCTTTGGATGTGAATGTCTCATCCCATATATTGTAGAATTAATACTTGTATATGTATAGGAAAAATTGTCCTCACTGTAGTATTTTTCTTTCTGTTATAGGTAATTATTGAAGATTCAAGATATTGGCCGATTGTATTTGATTGTGATGAAAACTGGGACATATTACGGTAATTATTTTTCTGAATTATAAGGTTAATCCCAAAAAATATTTTGGATACCTAAAATTTAATTTGTTCTGCCCACAAGAAAAATCTTTAACGGAAGAAACTGGCTGACGTTATATAAAGTATTATTCCCTTCTTCTTATTTAGTTTTATTTAGAATAAATACTGATTTTTCAAAAATTATTTATAATTTATTTTTTATTTATTTTATTTTATTTACTTATTTTTTAATAGCAACTTACTTGAAAAAGGTGGTACTCTTCATGTAATGCAGAATGCTGGTTGTTTACCGTACAGTGAAGATCCTCAGGTATGATGTTAATATTCATTAGATGTGCATTTGTATCTTTTCTTTTTAAACTTTTTATTTGGATTAAAAATCTGTAAGATATCACTATTTTTATCTTTTAAAAAACCTTTAATGGTGCATAATTGCTGTTTTAAATTTTTAAACTTTTCTAAAATATCTTTTCTTTTGGGATTTTATGAAAATGCTAACAATTTAAAGTGTGTGATGAATGTAAAATGAGTATGTGACTTTGTCATCTGTTTGAGACTTAAATGCTTTCTCCTTTCATAAACAAATGCACTGTATTGGATAAAATCACATTTGTAAATGCTTTAAAAGGTAAAATAGTATTTAACTTTTTTAAAATTATGCAAAATAAACATTTATTTAGGCATACATTTGAATGTTGCAGGAAGATATGTATGAGCATCTTTTCAACAGCAAAACCCTCCTGTGCCAAGTGAATAAGAGCATCAGTAGTTAGTAAATATGATTTAAATACTGGGTGGCTGCATGGCCATATTAATGGTTTTCCCTAACATTATGAATAGAAGCCAGTTAGAAAATCCTTCTCAAGGGTATCTTTCTCTCAAGCAGATAGCAGTTGTGTGCTTTGCCATAACTGATTAAACATTTTCAATAGCAAGTTAAAAAAATTTATTCCTTTCTAAAAATGCAAACTGCAAAAAGTTACTTATGGTAATTATTGATAATGTAAAAGCTTATTTTTCATCAGCAAAGATTTGATGAGGAAAATGAGAAGGAAAAAGCCAAAATTATGAATTAGTTGTTTGGAGAAGGTGAACTGAAATTTTGTAGCAGTTTAGATTCAAGGAGTTTTTAAAGGACAATTCACAATCACTACTAGAGAGCATCCTTCTTTGATAGTGTTATATTTTTATTACTTTACACTGGCAGCTGTATTTTAAAAATATAGGTACTTAGATTGGGGACTTTTTGAATTTGCAGAAAATATTTGTTTGCAATCTTTTTGACTCGAAGTGCTATTATGTTCATAAATAATAATAAAAAGAATTTTTATGACAAAAAACAAAAGTCTGTGTGACTGACATTTACACTTTTATGGTTAAATATAAAGTATGTAAATCCATGTGTACACAAGCATTTGTGTGGAAAAACATGCACAATGCTGTTATGCATTTTCATTAAAATAATAAATATTAAGGTTAACTTATACAGGTAATGAATATAAACATAAATTAATGAAGATACAAATGTTTCTTTTAAAAAATTTAATTTTTTTATCCTCTTATAATGTGAGTGTTTTCGACTTAATTTAATGAAACCTAAGGAAAACAAGCTGCCATTTAAGAAAAATATTAAACTGAAATTTGAAATGAAAGCAGTGAATATTTGATAAGCATTAAAAAAGTAATTTGTAATGGTGCATGTTCAAAATATATCAAGTTTTACTTTCATTATATGGTAGCCAAGTGTTATAATACAACTTACATAAAAATGCTAAATTAATGTTGGGCAAACTCAAAGAGATGTCAGTGATATACTTGATTTCTGGAACTAGCTAGATGATAAGGGATTTTCCACAATTTGTCACTGCTTAAAATTCTGTATGTTGTAAACAAAAAATGTGTAGAAAATTAAAATTTTTAAAAGAACCTGTATATCTTTATTAATATATGTGTTAATTTTATAAAAGTGCATGCCAACATTGCACATAACATAAAATTTTTTGTAAAAATATGGATCACTTTATGAGTTTTATGATTACATGTGGAATAACATTATAATATAATATGTATCAAACGTATTGTTTTTCTTAATAATTTTGTTATTGGTTTCTCTAAATGACTGAATACTGATTATAAAGTATTAAGTTCAAGCATTTATTTATATGGCTATAGTAACAGAAAAATTCTTCGAACATTTCTGTAGAAATTCAGTAAAATGTAAAAGTATCCAATGCCTTTTACTATAGAGTGTGTATTCTCACTGCTATTAACATACAAAAGTGACTTTAAAAAATCTATTTGTGTTATATGGATTTGCATCTTATAACTAAATGTGTGTTCAGTTGTTTAACTAACAAAAGGGAACAGAATGTAAATATGTGTGTGATAAGTTAAAGAGAAGCATGTAATTATTCTCTCACCAGTTTCATCCTAAATTATAAAAAATAAATGTGTGTGAAAAGAAAACATGCTCAAATCAAAAAAATAAATGAAAACATTTTAGTGTAAATTTAATTTTATTGTTCATACTATTTATATTTCTTTTCTATTCCAAGTATCGCTCTCCTTGTGGTGTCAAGTTGATTTAATAACTCACATCCATCAGCATCTTTTCTCACTTCATAACTTTATATTTTAAAAGAAAATTTATTCATGAAAAAATGTTTTTGAGGGAGTAATCGAGAAAAGTAAAAGACGCTAACTGCAAAAACTGCAGAAGTTTTGTTTTAATAACATTTTGTTAGTTTGCTACACTTACCAATAAATTAATTTGCAACTAATTCATCATAAACACTCATACTTAGTCATATTAAAAATATTGAAAGAAAATATGAGTTCTCTTAAAAGAAATATGAGAGAAATGTTTGTGAAAGTAAATTGAAATGCATTTTTCTTTTGATATTTTTTAAAATGAGTATTCATAAAAAATATAAATTGTGATAAACCATTCATTTATTCGATGTACATGATGGCGTGGCTCTATGTTTGAACATTTGTATGGCACTAATTCAGAAGTCAAACAACAAAAATCAGCGTTATATTTACAAAATTTTCACAGTACTAGTTTTGATGATTTTACCGAACCACCATCCTCAGTTGCGGAATCCATTTGCGGTTTCGCAAATGCACTCAAATGCAAATGCACTCAAATTTTTTGCACTCATACTTAGTCATATTAAAAATATTGAAAGAAAATATGAGTTCTCTTAAAAGAAATATGAGAGAAATGTTTGTGAAAGTAAATTGAAATGCATTTTTCTTTTGATATTTTTTAAAATGAGTATTCATAAAAAATATAAATTGTGATAAACCATCAATTTATTCGATGTACATGATGGCGTGGCTCTATGTTTGAACATTTGTATGGTACTAATTCAGAAGTCAAACAACAAAAATCAGCGTTATATTTACAAAATTTTCACAGTACTAGTTTCGATGGTTTTACAGAACCATCAAAACTAATACTGTGAAAATTTTGTAAATATAACGCTGATTTTTGTTGTTTGACTTCTGAATTAGTATTTATTCGGCGTGTTATTGTGTCTTAATTATTTTTATGGTATATCAACTGTAAATAAATTTATTAAATGGTGAAATAAATTAGGGGAAAAATGAAAAGTTTACTGTCACATTTTTTTCATGTGTTATTTCTTTGAAAAATATTTCTTATTAACAAATTTTCTGTCAGAACAAAGTACCATTAAAATGATTAAAAACATTGTTGACAGCAAGATTTGATCAGATGATTCTGAATTAATAGATGTTTTCAGCGCTACCAGGCAGGCAATGCGTAGTACTGAAAAGGAAATTTAAATTATAGGAAAATAAATGTTTTAAAATTTTTTTTCGATTTTTCTTGCTAATTTTTTAGATGTGTGAGTTCTCTTTTCACATGTACATTTACTTTAAGGTTCTCTTATAAGTATGCAAAATTTGGGCAAAACTGGTGAGCCAACAGTCAAATGCTGCTTTGTTAAACTGTGTTGCATATTTTTGGCTGCCGATTCTTATATGTGATAAATGGAATCATGTTTTGTTTTCATTTAGAAAGAGTAGCATTAAAGTGTAAATCATGTGATTTTTGATTTAATGCACAGAATTTTTAGTGATTTTTTTTACCCTTGTACATGTTATTTAGAATCATATTTTATGATTGTTTTATGAAAATACTAAATATGAATGTTTTATGAAATACTATAAATGAATTACAAAGCAAAATATGTAATATATTTTTCTTTTCTTTTATTTATTTTTACAATTAGGTTTTAAAGATCCTTTCATTATCTTTATAATTTTAAATGTCATGATTTCTTAGGGCTTTCGAAGTTTATTAGCACAGTCATACATATGGAGTAATGTCCATGCATGGAATATAAAGGTATGTTTTGAGTATTTAATTAATGATGATATTTTAGTTTAATAAAATGCTATTTATAAATATATACCCCAGAATACCTTTACAAAGGAGGAACATGCTTCTGCAATTTCAAAGATTAACCCTAAAAAGCTCCTGGTAAAGACCTAATTTTGGGGAACATGATCCAGCACTTTGGCAAAAATGCCAAAAGTCAGCTATTCAAGATCATCAACCTTTTTTGGACTTCTGGCAAATTGCCTATTATCTGGAAGACCTCTATCAGTGCCCCAAACCTTAAGCCAAACAATAATGCCTCTTACTGCAGCAACTACAGACCAATATCTCTTACCAGTACACTCTGTAAACTTATGGAGCGTATGATTCACTTCAGGGTTATGAACTGGTTACTCGAACAGAAGAAAATTCACTTGTATCAAATAGCCTGTCAAGTTCATCACAGTGCAGCTGACCAGCTAATATATGCCAATCAATAATTGATAACCTACAGAAAAAAAACCACATAAGAAAACAGTTGCTGTCTCTCTGGACCTGTCTGCGGCCTTTCATTGTGTTTGGTGACAAAGGCTAATTCAAATTATCCATGGGGTTGTCACTGAAGTAATGCACTCATCTGGATAAATGACTTTTCGAGAAGTAGACATTTTTCTGTCAGGGTTAATGGAAGAACTCTGTAGGACCTACAGAACTTGGGCAGGTGTGCCACAAAGCTTGATCCTGAGCACACTGCTCTTTCTTCTGTACATTAATACAATTGACTCTCATGTCCATCCTGACACCAGGATTGCATGCTATGCAGATGATATTACCATTTGGAGTTCAAACCAGATTTAAAAATCTCTGAGAAATCTTTACATTTTACCTTGAAAGGTATTACAGACTGGGCTGAGAATCTCTGACTAACAATAAATCACAGCAAAGCGAATTACTGTATCTTCTAAACAGACATAAAACATCGTGGAACTTTTAATCCAAATTTGAAACTTCAAAACATAAATATTGAATAGGTTGACCATCCCAAATATCTGGGAGCGATTCTGGACTCTGAATTTCGGAACTTTTACAAGGCACACTGAGATCACAGCAAATAAGGCTATCAAGAAATGAAATATTTTTTGCAAATTATGCGGACAAACTGGGGCTTAAGATCATCAACTTTGAAAAGGACCTACTGTACTGTAATCAGGCCAGTATTGGAATGTGTTTCCCCAGTCTGAGCTCCTGCATCTGAAACAGTTAAAGCAAAATGTGACTCAGTACAATATAAAGCATTTAAAAATATTATAGGAACTGTGTCTTCCAGAAATAACACTAGAGCTAAGGCAGAAAATGTCCTTGGAAAGCAGATGTAGATTTGCAACTGTGAAATTCACAAATAAGCTAAGAAGCTTAAATAAAAATCATATCTCTAACAGGGCCTTTTCCTCTTGGGAAGGATCAATAAGACTTCACAGATCATCAACTCTGCATTATGACAGAGATATCAGAAAAGTTTTTTGCCTTGATCATTGCTCTCCAGATATTCTCTAGGAACCTTCTTTTTCTAAAAAAACACCTGTCAATACTAAGATTCATCTCAACTTGTTAGAACCATATTCAAAGAAAGAACCCACTGTGATGTTATGCCAAAAGGGAGTTGATGCAATCAACTTATTCTCCCAGGAAAATAAAATGTTTGTTTTTACAGACGGTTCCTCTGATAATACTTTTCAAAGAGGCGGTGCTGGTATCTTTCTTGTCCACCCTTCTGATGGAAAAACTGAACTAAAAATTCTCATAGCCAAATAGGATCAAACTTCATCAGTGAATTGATTGCAGTCAAGGAAGCCCTTACTTTGTATGCCTTGAGCAATTTTGATGCTTCAGCGGATGGATTGGTGGTATTCTCAGACTCAAAATCAGCACTCGAAGCCATCTTTCATGGAGAAACAAGACTAACTCAATACATCTTCTTCTCGATCAAATACAAAAATCCTACACTCTTCAGTGGATCTCTGCACACATGGGCATCGAGAGAAATAAGTGTGCCGCTGCCCTGGCAAAAGAAGCTTGAGACTTGGACCAGCTCCTCATTGTTACATTTGAAGATGCAGATGCAGTTACAAAATACAAACTTTTTGCTAGACATTTTAGAAAGCCTCTAATTCCAGATTTTGACTGCCCCAGAGGTCTAACGTCTGCAGTGGCAACACTTCATACACCCATTTTGAAGCTATGAAGATATTTCCAAGGGATGATAACTTAAGATCTTACCTCATATGCATAAATTGCCCACAAGCCCAATTAACAGCAGAGTATATCTTCAACTGCCAGGCTATCATTGCTGCTCTTTACCAACTTGGCTCACAACCACAGGATATCCTTTACAGTCCTCAGGCTCCAGACCTGTCAAGGCTTGTCCTGCAGACTTTTGGCTCCATTTTAGCACCTTTTCCATGGACAAGACGGCAACAATAGCAACAGAATATCATATGTGTGCATGCATGTAATTACCTCCTCCCCAATCTGATAACATACGTGCATACATTTAGCAGGCATGCATACATGCAAGATGAAAATAATAATTTTAATTTGTTAATAGCTCTGTAAGTTTCCTTTTTAATTTAGTTATTTTCCCTTTCCAGTCTAAAAAAAGTAAATTGTTTGTAATAAACCTTTCTAACATATGTCATTTCAGAATCATCCCCATCATATGATTCTTATGTAAATGATGCGTGCACTTATGTAACAGAAAGCGTAAAAGTAAAAACTTAGACAAATAGTGAAGAAAATTCAAGAAACTCCATCTCTGTGTTGAGAAATCAAGGCAATTTGCCATGCTTAATCTGAAAACAGTAATCTTGATCTCTGTTTTATTATCATTTAGTCTGCCATCCCTCTTCATTGCAAGTTCTAATGTGAGACATATCTCTTTAATTATAAAATTGCAAATACTCTTATCACAATATATGCATTGCTATGTTGTAATTTATATCTAATTAAAGATCACACTGCTAGTCTACAAGCTACCTATTATTCAAGAAAAGTCAGCACCAGCTTCTTTTTATTTTCCTTTATCATCACCTGTATATTACAGTACAAAGTTTTTATCCGGACTCATCGGGACTTTGGCGATTCCAGATTAGGGGTTCTTGCGGATTATAGATCATCAATTTAAATCTGGTAAGATGGCATGCAGAAATTATAAAATTAAAAATATGAAAACATAATTTATGAAATAAAGAGCAATTATGATCTAAAGGGTATCAAAATTTACAAAAAAAAAGCTTAATATGTATTTGTTTACTTTATTAAACATTTCTTTCAATGTAATTTTCATGCGTAAAGCATACATTACACATAGTTGAAATTAGAATATTGCAACCAGAAAACTATTTGATGTGCATTCGTGATATATATGATGATGAGGAATTTGATTTAAATCAGATCAAAGATGGAGTACATCGAGATGAAATACTACATTTAGTAAGGAATTATAAGCCGAATAAAATAAAAACATCTGCCCTGAAGATGAGGACAGTGCTGACAGATCAACTTCTAGTTCATTGCATGCCGCGATGTTTCCCCCCTGCAGTGCTGCGTGAAATTGATAAACAGATTTCGGAATGGTTAGAGAAACAAAAGATATGCCTTTATCCATTTTTTGCAGCAATTCCACTTTTTGTTTGATGGACATCGAAACATGCTTTCACTTTGTAGATTCTTTGACCGCTCCAGAATCGGAAACTCTTTTTGACATAATCGAAAGTTCAAGCTTACTTTTTATAAGATTCCTCTAACAATCTGCAAAAAATAATAAGCCAGATCCAATTAGAAGATTAAGGAGCAATGCAATCTGCAACATTAACTGAAATAGATAATTAGATCATTTTAGCCTAGCTTATACCGTCTGTTATACATTAAATGTGCATGCGTAAATGTATTATGGGCATGCGCAGAAAGTTTGTAGCTTTGGGGTCCGGATTATAGATCATTCCGGATTATGGACATCCGGATAAAAGACTTTGTACTGTATTACTTACATTATGTGTAAATTAACATCAGTAAATGAACATATATATGTTATTAATAAATATGTGACTGAATCAACACATAAACATATATATAAAAATATGTATGTGTGTGTGTATATATATAAGATAAAAAATATGTCAATCAGCGTTGTACAGTACAAAGTCCATAATCCGGACATCCATTATCCAGAATGATCTTTAATATGGACCTCAAAGCCAGAACCTTTTTTTTTTTTTTTTTTTGTATGCTTTACGCATGTGCATAATGCATATCGAGAACTTAATCATAACTGGACTTGAAACTGGCACTGTGCCAAGCATCGCTGGTGCACAAAGTAATTGTAAATCAGAACTAAGAGGGCGTTGCCGTAGTTGGTAGGTATACGTGTATGCGAGGATGGTATCTTCCGTTCACTACACGCATGTGTAAACGTCTATGTTGCATGTCTGTGTTAAATTTCGTGAACAATAGCAAGATTATTCAAGATGTTTTGAAATTTTTTAGCATAAAATCTGCTGTGTGGAGCATCTCAAGATTGTGGGAGGATGTGTCTCCAGATACGTTAAAAAATACTTGGCATAATTTATGGCCGTCTACCATATTTCATGGTGAGGATGATGAAGATGCTAGCCGCGAATTTGAAGGTTTTCAGACATCGCAAACTAAAGGTGAAATTTTCCAGTTATTGGATTTTGTAAAGAAATGTGGAGAAGCAGTAATAAATGAAGATGATGTAAGTTTTTCATTGCGATGACAATGCCCCAATCATCAATCAATTAATGGACGGCGAAATCTGTAGTATGGTTCTAGATCCAGAAAATGCTGCCTTCGATAGTGAAGAAAGTGACAGAGAGGTTATTGAAAATGAAAAAATTTCAATTGACAAGTTAGTCAGTATTCTCGACACAGCAATTACAGGACTTGAACAGTGGAACTTTGTAACTGAACAAAAAATTATGTCTGTTTATAGAATTAAAGAGGAAGTATTAGCACAAAAAAATGAAGCAACTTAAACAACTTACATTGAAAGAAACGTTTAATAAAGTAAACAAATAAATATTAAGCCTTTTTTTTTGTAAATTTTGATACCCTTTAGATCATAATTGCTCTTTATTTCATAAATTATGGTTTCATATTTTTAATTGTATAATTTCTGCATGCCATCTTACCAGATTTAAATTGATGATCTATAATCCAGAAAAACCCCTAATCTGGAATCGGCGAAGTCACAACAAGTACGGATTACAGACTTTGTACTGTAATTTAATTTATTAATATCTACTAATTTCTTAATTTTTAATTTCCGTAGTTTCTCTATTCTAAAAATAACATTATCTTTGGGCTGCACCATTTCTAGATTAATCTATGTCACAAAGCTTCCATAATGTCAATGTAGTTGATTGGGAACCTGAATTCTGAGAACTGAAACATTGTTAACCAAAACCTTCCTTCTGACAATCTTACATATTGGATAAATTGCTACATCTGGCTTCAACTTCTGTGCTGCTTAGATGCTTTGCTCTCTTCTTATCACAATAGCATTAAAAAATGTAAATGTTTTTGAGTAGGCATGATTGGAGTGTCAAATGAATTGTGATCACAAATGTGAATTTAAATAAAAATGGAATTTAATCTGGCTTGCCTTCTTCTTCTAGTGTGGGTCGATGCTGTAAGCTTCAAGTATCTACGGTTCTACACCTCAGTGTTCTTACATCAGTACTTCTAAAATTTGCTTTCGTTACATGTATGTGTATATATATATATTACATAGTAGAAGATGACATGAACTTTTAAAGAATCTCAAAAATCTCATGCTAATCCAAGCACTCATCTTTATAATTTGTTGATTACTGTATCAAATGGCACAATGCAGTGGGTGCAATTCGCACCCCACAGTTTGCATTTTGTCGTATTACACTTTTAATAGTGAACAGAAGCAGCTAAGCAAGAAATGTCCATTAGCTAGCAAGCATAGGTAGTAAAAGAGAGTGCTTATATTGTTTCCAGAATATTGATAGTTTTCATAGTTTTGTGCTTTAATCCTACACAGTGATTTTTTAAGAGTTTTCACATTGCAATTACTGCAGGAAAAGTGACCCAAAGCAAAAGGGGAGGAACTTAAATTTAAATCAGTAATTTAAAGATCTATTATCAATTTGTTCCAATTAAGTTTAATTTGTTAATAAATTTCCACCATATTTTTTTTAATACGATGGATAATGCATATTAATAGGCACACATATTGGGTTAGTCCATAAATTCATGTGCATTTTTTGGTAAATTTTTAAGTAATATAAAAAAACACAATTTAACATTTTAATCAATTGTATATTTTTCTCCATTATCTACAGTGTCTTACCATCTTACAGGCAGCTTTTTTATGTCATTGCTGTAGAAAGACTCTGGTTTTGATGAAAAAAACTTCAAAGCTTATTGTGTACATCCTGTTTAGAATTTAATTTTTTTCCTGTAAAAAATTTTGTAAGGCACGAAATAAGTGAAAATAACTTGGGGCAATACCTGGGGAGTAAGCAGGATGTGGCAAAAGCTACCAATTCAATTCACTAAATTTTTGCAGCATTGTTTGAGCCGTATACAGTCTAGCGTTAGAAGGATGAAACATATTGACCGATCGTAGGCGTTTTTTAATCAATTTTGAGTTTAGATGGCAAAGTTGTTCACTGTAAATTTCTGAATTAATCGTTTGATTTGGTTCTAACGGTTCAAAACGTCCTGAACGGGGTTCATCATCAATGCTGTTTTTTCTAACTGAAATGCCCAGAAATGGTTTACTCTAATAGTGTGTTCACCATGTACACTATTAATTTTTATTGCTGCAAACCTGCAAACCATTCACCACACGAAAATTAAAAAATGTAGCATAGCACGTTTGTACTGATTATCTATATTCATCTTCTATAGGTACTAAAATGCATTCAATATGTATGAAAGTTGGTGATGAACTGAATAATATGTTAGTCAAACGATGGCAAGTTTCAACAGGTTCAAAATTTTATTGTTTTAGTAAATGCGTCATAATGAATTCCATGCATACTCTTAATGCGCACGAACTTATGGACTGACCCGATATATATGTGTGTGTGTTTGTAATAATTAATTAATTCATAACTAATGAAAATATTGAGTATATTTTAGTTCAAAATATAATTATTCTTTTATTAAATTTCTATGAAGTAATTTTATTGATTACTAACTTTATGTGTGAAAACTTTTTGCATAAACTATATTATATATGTTTAATTGTATTCATATTTTACAAAAACATAGGGCATCATATGATCGTAAAGCATCATTCACATGATAAAATCATAAAAGGTCTAAGCCAAGCTTTGTTGTTAGGCAACCAGTCATTGTTGCATCACAAAAACTGGTTTAAGAATTTTGCCTACAAATTCTAGTCTTTCATCTTCATACCAATAAAGAGGTAAACAGTTACAGTGAAACAAATGCTGATTGGCAGTTTCACTGAGTCAACTACACATTTATGCGTGTGCAACTTTCCCTTCTGGGATCGGCTGTAGATTAAACCCTGTAAAACAGGTGTGAATGGACCTAATGACTTTTATGCTGTAAGCTGCAAAATCTTATGATGACAAAAACCATTGTGTGAATGTAGTCTAACAGTTATGTACATACCTTTTTACTTAATGTCATTATTCCAAGACAAGGTTTAATGGTTTTTTGTTGTTGTTGTTATTGTTTTGTTTTGGGCTACATGCATGCAATATAAAAATTTAGCAGCATAAATAAAAAAAAAAATTTTTTTAATGACGTTCTTCAGCTAAACAATTATTTTTATATTTAATTAATGATTATCATTGCTTACTTAGGTGGCAGCATAAATAATTTCAAAATATTTTTACTCTGTACCAAATATTGATAACAGTAAATTTCATAAATATTGTATTTTCAAATATTTAGTAGTACATGCCAAAATTATTTTTTTTTTATCTTCTAATTATGTAACATTTCTTGTTTTACTCTATTTCAACAGAATGTTCCTATATCAAATTTTTCCTCTGATCCAGTGGCTCTAAACTTTGCCTCATGTTTCTTAAAAACTATGGCTGTAAGCAAAAAAGTTAGTATGGAAATATTTTGCATATTAATCTATGTCTAAATGAAAAAAATAGTATTAAGTCTTTTACAGATCAATCTCTGTCTCTGTCATTTAATGGAATACAGTCAAACCCCACTATAACAAACATTGAAGGACCAAAATTTGGTTCACTATATCTGTTCTGATCAGGGGGAGGGGAGAAAGGATAATCTCACAAAATACTGTATAAATTGATTGAACAATTGCACAGCAACAGTGATTAACATTGTCATATCTCCCAAAAGATGTTAATAGTAACTAAATTTAATTAAATGTTAATAATAATTATTATTAAATGCAATTACTAAATTTCTTTTTTCATTGTTTTCAATTTAACCATATGTTAATAATTTTACGTGAAAACTTACTTTGTACAAATGTCAGGGTTTAGACCCATAACCTTCAATTATATATTTCTATCAAAAATAATGTTTTCAAAATATGCATTTATAATTATGAGTAAGCATCAGAGTGCTATCTGATAGCTCAATCAAAGAACAGATTTAAGCTCTATCTCAATGGGTCAAAGGTTCTTTAGCCTTATGCATAATCAATCATCATCTACTGTCAACTAATGTTGTCAGAATCCACTGACAGAGACAGGTACATTGATAATTCTAATTATAATTATAAATATGAAAACTTAGTCATATCTTTCTTATTGACAAGGAACAATAAATACAGTCAAAAGTCATTAATCCGGGCTCCTCGGTACTTCGGCGATTCCGGATTATAAATCATCAGTTTAAATCTGGTAAGATGGCATGCAGAAATTATAAAATTAAAAATATGAAACCGTAATTTATGAAATAAAGAACAATTATGATCTAAAGGGTATCTAAATTTCCAAAAAAAAAAGCTTAATATTTTATTTGTTTACTTTATTAAACATTTCTTTCAATGTAAGTTGTTTCGTTTTTTATGTGATAATACATTCTCTTTAATTCTATAAACAGACATAATTTCTTGTTCAGTTACAAAGTTCCGCTGTTCAAGTCCTATAATTGCTGTGTCGAGAATACCGACTAATTTGTCAACCAAAATTTTGTCATTTTCAATAACCTCTATCACTTTCTTCGCTAATATATGGTGAGGAATTTGATTTAAATCATATCAAAGACGGAGTACATAGATGAAATACTACATTTAGTAAGGAATTATAAACCAAATAAAATAAAAACATCTGCCCTGAAGATAAGGATAGTGCTGACAGATCAACTTCCAATTCATTGCGCGCTGCGGCGTTAAAGATAAACAAAGTTTACATAAACAAACGTTAAAGTTTAGATAAACAAAGGATATGCCTCTATCCATTTTTTGCAGCAATTCCACTTTTTGTTTAATGGACTTCAAAACATACTTTCGCTTTGTAGATCCTTTACGTATTAGTAAATATATATATCAGAAATTCTATTTGACATAATCGAAAGTTCAAGCTTACTTTTATAAAATTGCTCTAACAGTCTGCAAAAAATAATAAGCCGAATACAATTCGAAGATTAAGGAACAACGCAATCTGCAACGTTAACTGAATTAGATAATTTTAGCTTAGCTTATACCGTCCGTCATACATTAAACGTGCATTCGTAAACGTATTTTGCGCACGCGCACATGCAAATTCGCAGCCGTAAATGTCTTACGCGCATGCGTCAAATGTGACGCATGCGCAGAAAGTTTGTGGTGTGGATTATAGATCATTCCGGATTATGGGTGTCCGAATTACCGACTTTTGACTGTACCTCATAATGATGGTGTCTAAGTTGTAAAAAAGATTTTCTTAGGTTAGATGACATACACTTTTCCCAGATTTTTACAATACAATGTATGTCACATAAAACATAACAATAAATACACATGTTTAACTGCTGTTCTTGAATACTACAGCATAAACTATCTATTTTCTGGTGGCTGTAAGAAAGTGAAAAGATTGGGTCAGACAGGTGAACTCAATATTTTCTACATATTTGTATCAGAGTGACAAAACTGACAGCTTAACATTTTTTCTGCATACTTGTATCTGAATGACAAAACTAACTAAATTAAGCAAACCTGCCAACAAAATGTTTAACCTTTTATGGTCATCATTGAGCTCAGCTCGCATTCTAGTTAAGCTCTGAAGTGGACACAAATGAACACGAACTTCATTACAAATTTATGACAGACAGATATTGCACATATGTAGAAACAAAGATTAGCTTAATCTTGCAACCACTAAAGAGTTAAATTGCTCTCACTTGTGGAGCCCCAAACACCATCTAGTGAGGGAAGGAAATACTTTAATTTGATTCCTAACACAATGTGTCAGTAGAATCTGCTAAAGTATATTTATTATGTTTCCTGGTTTTTCAAAAATTGGGTACTGCATCTGCCTCTCATAGCCATCTGTTTATAACACAGAAAAAGATGAGGATAAAGGTATGGTAACGTGAAGGTGTTAATTATCATTTTAATATCCTAAACAGTGGATTTAAGGCTTAATAGTTTTTAATTTGGTGCCTTCAGAAATTCTAGAAAAGATTTTTAAAAAAATTCAGCCCATGATTTGCACAGAGTCTGTTATATACAATGTTTATACACTTGAAAGTTCCTTATAGGTGTATAAAATTACATTGTAGTTTATAAGAAATTGGTTGGGAGACTAAAAGGTGTGATGCTATTTCTAGGGTTTTATTATAAACTTTGATCGCTATAATGGGGTTTGACTGTATAATTAATGTTTTATAACTTACTTGCATGTTTATTTATGAATATCTATTTGTATCATTTACTGTAATAAGCCATTGCATATAATTTTAATCAGATTTTTAATCTAGCTCAGCAGTAGTGTCAACGAGCAATTAATAGAAATTCTGAATACTTATAGTATTCAGAATATTATTATTATATATTATAGTATTATTCATTTATTATATATATAGTATTATTCTGAATAGTTTTTCATCTTAGGTTTAATTTCTGGTTGTGTAGATTAAATGCATGATTTTTATATATTAAATATGAAATGCAAATGAAATTACTTAAACTATCCAACAAAATGCATCTGTGGTGACCATTCATTTGTTAATCTTAATGAACTTACTGAATTAGGATTTTCTTAGAATTTATGTAATTTGATATGGTTAAAATTCAATTTTAGAAGATTTTCAATTAATTTAATAGATGACCTTGTTATACAAAATACAATAATTCACAGGTAACTGATGGAAATTGGAAATAAAACTGATTTTAATTGCCTTTTTTAAAGGGCCTTTATGCCATCTTTTTAATTTATATCTAACATTCTTTTAAATCCACATAGTGCAGAAGTAATGTAATATATTTGTATTTTTATAATTGAGAGTATTTCATACATTTTTTAAGTGTACCTTTTTTGTTTTCAGTTTGAAAAATATCTATATTTTGTGTATGATCATATTTAAAATGGGATTATATTTCTTTAAACTTAGATGACCAGTTATCCTTTCTTTTTGGAAGACTATAATATATCTTTTGGTGATTGTATAAAAAAATCTTAATATAATTTTTTATGGGATTTAAAATGTTAAAAATGAATAGCATATTATAAAAGAATTTTGGAAATTGTGGACCTTTTTTTTATTGAAAAGTGAGCAGATTTCCTTTTTAATCTCAGGGTTATAGTAAATAATTAATATACATAACAAGGAAAAATGCATTAGAATATTTTTTATGTATCTATGGAACCTTTTTTATTAAATAATCTCTTAATATTTTGAAAAGTTAGTCATGATTGCCATTTGAATTTTATCAATATTAAGAAGTGACAAAAAAGTTTTGAAAGCTTTCATCTTAAGTGAGATAGTTTCAGAGGTATTTAATTCTTCTTGTATCAATTTAGTAAAATTGCTGAGCACTGGTAGTTTCAACCTGGGTTATATTCCAGGCGAATGGACTGGCTGCATGGGCATTTTAATGGTTTTCCTGAAATGTAACATTATATACAAGCTAGTTCTCCTTAGAAAGTTGTCCACAAAGACATCACTTCACTTAGGCAGATAGCCCTAGTGTGCTTTGCCATAATCAATTAAGCCAAACTAATTTATTCTCTCTTACCAAAAAAATACTGCATTTTAACTTCTGCTATAATCTGTATCTGATTTTACCCATTCTATCGCATGTGTTCCTTTATTTCAAGATCTAAAATAGGCATCAGGAGAGGCCAGATATATTTGGATTTTATTTCTGAATGTTCCTGTGGATTATTGAAATTTATTGAACATTGGGTAGTTTTATAGAACCTGTATGCAAAATATTTTCCTTTAAGGCGAAATCCAAATTCATTTGTTTATCTTTTCATTTCTTTTTGATATTATGTCAAGCAATCAATGAAAATTTGTGGAATTAATATCCTGTCATTGTAATAATAATAAAATGCAATGTTACACACAGTAAAAAAATAAGTATAATGATATACATAACCAATGAATGTGTGTCGCAAAGTGGTGTTACTTAGCCTTCAAATGTTTATGTCTTAACATATTTGCAAATTTTGCCATTTTGTAAATGTTTGGTCTTTATTTTAAGAAGAATAATGATAAATTAGATGAAAATGGTAAATAGTGATAAATTAGACAAACATCTATATACATTTTACATATTTATGGTACATCTAGCTCTCTTTCTCTTCCCCCCCCCTTTTTTTTTTTACATTTTTAACCAATGTAATTTGCCTGTTGGTTTTCCAATCAACTCTAAATCTCCAAAATGTGTATTAATATCTAGTACAGTAATCAAAAAATAATCTTCACATAAGTCAATCTGCAGAATTCGAACCTGTGTAAATTCAATGGTCACCTGCATATAGGCTTTTTTCCCTTAGTTTTGTGTAAGTGTAGATAAAAAGAGAGAGATTAAGAGTTTCATTATTGTGAACCTACTTTTTATAATGCTTTGTATTACATTGCATATGCTTAGTAAGGCAAGTATCTCTCTGATATTAAGTTATGAACCTATACCTGATTTAC